CTAGCTGAGTAGCGTGCTCAGATGAGTAACTTTGATAAATACATCTGGGCATCCGGTGCCGATTCGTTTTTTGAGCAAAATTGGGTGTCTCGTATTTACTATTATTTGCCCTGAGCCACGCTTTCAACAGATGCCCAAGCTCGAGCTGCACGCACCGTGCTGGCAACACGGAACACCGAAGGCGAATTAAACCCCGCCACAACCGGCCGATGAGGCGAAGCGAAGGGACCGAAACTCGCGCAGACAACGCGAGCAACCGAACACGCACAGACAAGCAAGACGGCAGTCAAAAGCGGGATGCCAGAAGCTGAGCGAAAAGCGCTCAAAAGTGCAAAAGTGTTACTCAAGGTCAGCGGGTCTCGCAGAAGAACCGCGAAGTGCACATTTGGGAGAGTGCTGATGCCAACTGATTTTATCACAGTAACATTGATCACAGTGGAGAAGCAGGGTATCGATCCCTGTACCTCTCGCATGCTAAGCGAGCGCTCTACCATTTGAGCTACATCCCCAGGACAACAACCTACGCGCTCTACCCAAACACAAACGCTGCCACGCACGCACCACAAACACCACGCTGCCTCAGACCGACGCAACGCTGCCACGCTATCTGTCCGCATGCCTCGCCTCCCCCCTTAACCCCTCACTACTCACTCTACACACCAAAATCCAACGCGCAATCTGCACCACACCAACCCGATGCAGACAGACTCACCGCACTGCGCCGCACCCCGACCGTCGCGAGCGCCAGAGCCTCGAGCGACCGCCACGCTTTCAACAGATGCCCAAGCTCGAGCTGCACGCACCGTGCTGGCAACACGGAACACCGAAGGCGAATTAAACCCCGCCACAACCGGCCGATGAGGCGAAGCGAAGGGACCGAAACTCGCGCAGACAATGCGAGCAACCGAACACGCACAGACAAGCAAGACGGCAGTCAAAAGCGGGATGCCAGAAGCTGAGCGAAAAGCGCTCAAAAGTGCAAAAGTGTTACTCAAGGTCAGCGGGTCTCGCAGAAGAACCGCGAAGTGCACATTTGGGAGAGTGCTGATGCCAACTGATTTTATCACAGTAACATTGATCGCAGTGGAGAAGCAGGGTATCGATCGGCTCCGATTGACGCAACACTGATATCCATGTCGACGGATCTACACTATCAATGGACAGGCTCGTAGTGTTGCCCGACTACAACACTGCTCGTTTCCCACAAATAGTTTACCTGCTATAAAAGGGTCAAATAAAATATTTTACAGATAAAATACGAGTAAATGGGTGCAGTACTACAGTTGGAGACTCAATAAAAATATTAGTTTGGATACGACGGTGTTGCCAAAGGTCCCTCTGAACACTTCTTCGCATTTCTCGCTGCACCAGGCCAAGCCTAAGTGGAAACGCTGACCCCCCCCAAACAAGCTTCTGTCGCACAGCAAGAAGACTCTGCCCAGCAAGAAGCCGCAGCACAGGAGGGAACCGCTGCCAGCTGCTACCGCGCAACAAGGAGACGCTGCTCCGCGAGAAGCTGTCGCACTGGAACGGGCCGCTGCCCCAAGAAGCTGCCGCCGCGCAGCAAGGAGTTGCTGCCCCAAGGAGGAGGTTCAGGAAGGACCTGCCGCGCATGAAGGAGTCGCTGACAAGGAGCGAGCCGCTGGCTCTCAAGAAGCTGCAGCGCAGGGAGGAGTCGCTACCCATGGAGGCACTGCCCAGTAAGGAAGTGCTGACTAGCAAGTAGCTGTCGAGGAAGGCGTCGGTACTACGCAAGCTTGCACATCCTTGAACCTGCTGGAGGACCTTGCTGCACGTGAAGCTTAGCTGGCTTCTGTCACACAGTAGTGCCAACTTCTACAAGCTAGATTTTCTTTAACGACGCTTCAAATAGTTGTAGAGTCTTCGGTAAAGTATTAATCCAAGTTAGGCTGCGCTGGAAGTGTTCCCTATAACTTGAAGTTGAAGTCGAGTTCAACATGATATACTAAATTATCTCAAACTACCACTTCTACAAGCTAGATTTTCTTTAACGACGCTTCAAATAGTTGTAGAATCTTCGGTAAAGTATTAATCCAAGTTAGGCTGCGCTGGAAGTGTTCCCTACAACTTGAAGTTGAAGTCGAGTTCAACATGATATACTAAATTATCTCAAACTACCACTTCTACAAGCTAGATTTTCTTTAACGACGCTTCAAATAGTTGTAGAATAGTTTGACATAATTTAGTAAAGCTAGACCATCATTAAGAAAAGTTTTGCTTGCTACTCTCATCCTCCTACTCAACCTACTGCGTTGACCTACAAGACAGATTGCTCAGAGTACGTTGGCCACTATGGCCAAACACTAGAATATCTTTAGCTGCTTGGATGGATTAATGAACTATATGTATTTGTTTTACTGAATTGCGGATCCTGGTTCAATTATGCTAATTTCTTAGCGCCTCTAGTCCAGTCCGAAACCCCTGTGAGGAAATGTAACATGCAGTCGATTCTGTTTCAAACGTAGCGTTTTGCTTCAACTGAAGCAAGTCTGGTCGAATCTAGGAATCCTCAATCGCATCCGATTCTTGGATCAGTTCATTGAGTTGGTCGCCAATTTCTTGCACTTCGTCCATATCACTTGCGGCTGGGACAACAATGGTCACGCTGGGAGAGCTAATAAGGTGCCAAAGCATTCTAAGTCGAAGAACACTTGTCACCGCCCAAGATAATTTTCCTTGGTAGCGCCCAAAAGAATCCAACCGGGCGTTGAGATAATGCCACGCCATTGCGGTAACAAGAACACCGCAACTGTCTCCGTCGCATTGTCGTGGCCCATTCGCAATTGAAACAGTCCATTTAGGGTAGTCGCTTGGGGGTGTTCCTGCGTTCGCTGAACCACCACGGAATCGAATTTTCCACTCTCCAATTGCCGGAAGTACGACTTCCGCGACGCGTGACTTGGTTTCTTTAGTGAAGTAGGAATCTTGCATGGGATCATAAAGCACTACTTCACCAGACTTGACGTTGATGACACTCAGTGTCCAGTGAATGTTGTTAACATTGCAAGGTGCAATAAACAACTCCCACTCGCGGTCCATTTCTAATGGAATGCTCCACGATTCCAGTAACAGGCAAACCGGATCGATGAGACAGGCGTTTCCATGTTCGGCGCACTTCTGTTGTATCAGCAGCGAGATGGAGGTGTCCGACAACCAGCTGGATAGTGGCACTTCGCTTAAAAGCTCGTCAATGCGCGAGGTTGCTTGAGTATCATCAATTGCAGGCATGGTGACGTACGCCGTCAGAGACGTAAATGCCAGTGCGTTGGTAATATCCCTAGCACATTCCGAAGCTCGTTTGTCTGGTGTGGTGAGACTGTCGACAGCCTCAGCTTCAAGAGCGTCCCAATCAGAATCGAGCCACACCACAGTTTTTTTCCTGTTCTGGTACGCTGTCTTGCACTTGTAGAAGTCATCCATAGTGTACATCAAAGACCTACATCAACGCACAAAATAGTAAGCCACTGCACAGCACAAGTTCCAATGTACAACTCGTAAACTTACTCGTGGTATCGGGGGGATCCCGTGATTTTGATCTCCAAACCGAACTGAGTAGGGGTGACCAAACCGATTTGACGGGCTCTCCGCAACGCAGCAACACATTTCGTGACAAGCTCCTCGGGGAAAATTACACTGAGGGTTTTGATAGCATTGCTAGTCCCTGCGAAAACTTTAGGCGTTGAGCGCAGGTTGCTCGGAGATACAAGCTGCCGCGGAATCAGGTCGAACACCTTTCGTGCCTTCGAATCATCGGTACACCTCCGAAGCCACTCTGTCGCAGCACCTACAGCAGGGCCTTGCATCCAGCAAGACACATCTAAAGATGTGGCCGACCGAGCGGCGAGCGTTTTTGCCTGTGTCTTTTTGCGACGGAGATGATTCTTTCCTCCAGTGTGAATTGATTTTGGCAGCTCCAGTTTGATGCATGTAATGGCAGGGGTAGCGCGTAAGTATGCTTCGTCCAACTTCTCGACGCGTAGGCTAGATTTCATGGCAGGTGACGGCTCTGAAGCTGGTGGCCCGGTAGTAGTTCCTTGGGGCGCAGAATAGACAGGTAAATTTGCCGCTGGCAGGTGTTTCCTGCGAGGATTCATGCCTTGCGTGCCATGGTTACGCGCGTGGAAACTGGCTGAAGGCTCTGCGAAATTTATTTCTGCAGAGCTATCGTCGCTGCCAGAATCATCATGGTCTTCTTTTTCCATGTCCGAACTCAACTCCACACCAGTGTCCACTTTTTGGAGGCCGACAAGAAGCTCATTGCACGCTAGCGTGACCAGATTCAGCTTCTGATAAAATCGGGAAGACGAAGTAGCTACTAGGACGTCTACGACCGGCTCCAATAGAGCCTTCGCAATGTTGTACTTCTCCGTATCACTTTTCACTAGGTCCCGATTACCCACGGGCTCGTGCGCTTTCAGTTTCACAAACTTCAACTGCGGGCGTCTTACAATCTCCAGTGACGCGAGCTTACGTCCGACACCATTGCCTCCCTCCTTTCTGTTAGCACTGGTCGTAGTGTTCGACCGCACCAGTCGATTGTGCGTTAAGCTGGCCCTCAAAACCTCCAGCAACACATTTGCATTTGCGTAGTTCCATCTTTCCATGAGTGCACTTGCCGGGAATACTGTTTGGTTCTGGACATCAAACACGACGTGGAATATGTGCATGCACGGCAGCCTGCTCGTGACAAACCCGGGACAGCTACACGCAAGAACCGGCAGACCTCCAACCTGCCAAGTTACGCTGTGGGTAATCAGCCCAACCTTCACGACGCTGCAGGTTCCTGTCGTTCCGGCAGTCTTTATTTGCGCTGATGTCTTCTTTTCCTCATAGCGAAGATATTCGTCGTGAATTTTCTGGAAGGCGAAGTCGCTTGTTATATTTCCGACCACTTGAATAGCTTTTGGAATCCTCGGGTTGAACGTCGATGTAAGCTGACGGCGAATAAGATCTGCCCGAAGCTCCCCCATGGACGCATTTTGATAGAGAAGAATTCCAGATATGCACTGGTCAATAGTGCATGTCAGGTCTACCAGCCGCTTCATTTGGTTCCATGACGCTTCCAGTCGGTTTGTCGTCGTGTTCGTTGCCGTGAAGTAGTTTGACCGTGCATGGGTAGGGTAGCCCACATGCTGCAGTAATCGTACCAATTGGTCTTCAAGTAACTTAAGAACTCCACAGAAATCTTGTTGCACAGTTCCTCCATTTGTCGCTGACGTCGTTCAAAAGACTCCCTCGTTCTAGCAAATACCAATCCTTTCCATGCTACCTCCAGTTTTTCTCTATTCGAGACTGAGATGTTCATCTTCCGGGTTGCAAGCTTCTTTTTTACCGCGGTCAACGCGTGAAATTGACACAACAGTACCTGCAGTCGAGAAATGCAGCAACAAGGTCAGTTTTGGTTTGTAACCCATGGCGCCGTAGTAATTTTGCTTACCTTAGCCTCAGGATATATTTCCTCGAGTACATCCCATTCTTGGAAGTCTTTGTCAATAACGAATGTCTCCGTAATATTTGCACCAACGTGGTCCTTGAAAAATTGCACGCACTGGCGCATCGTCTCCTTTTTTTGGTCGGCCACGATCATCTCACACACGGAAAGCCCTTTGCCATGTCCTCCCGTTACCATCAGCTCACCTAAATGCCAGCCGAGGTGATTGGTGCGGTGCGTCCAATCTAAGAGGAGGCACTCGCCCCAACGCTGGTAATGCAGCTTCTGCGCCTGATTGATCAGCGCCACACCGCATACAACATCATCTGACGCCTTCAGAACAAGACAGTCGTTGCCTTCTTTCTCCACAAACTTCTCCAATACGCGAGCAAGACGCTGCTCAGCGGTAGCACCACCATATCGAGCTGCACAAAAATTCCTGACTTGTTGATGTGAAACATCACGACCTGAGCCCAATCATACCAAAAATTAGATTGATCTTTGCCAGACACGGGTAATTTTATAGACTTACCAATTTCAGATGAAATGTATTCTGCTCATAGGAACTTTCGTTTGTCGCAGCAGGTCGATAGATGCTCCGAGGTCTTCGCTGTGAATGGCCTTGTTCAAATTGATGCGATCATAAATGTCTTGGTTGATGGGGTGGTTGTGCGTGGCAGTCTGAAAAAAATAATTAAATTCCAAGATCACAAAAGTCGCGTCAGTAAAAAATAACCCAATCAGTCACTTAAGACAATGGTCTTTAAGCATAAACAAACCTCGCTAACGACAACAATACCGAGTTTGCCACCTATCTTCGTGACAACCAAAGTAACACGAGCCTGGCACCCCGTATAACGATAGTGCAGCTGATCACGGACCCCACCACCTCTAGGGGCATCGAAGCACCCGTGTGTGCAGTAGTACTGGCGCCGCGCATCAATGAACTTGTCTGTTGGAATTTGGAACTTCACGTAAGTCCACTTGTTCTCACGAAGACTGTACATTCACACCCACACATTTAGATATTATCATTGATAGAGCCCATTCACGCAACTTACAGTGCGTTGTTTCTCGTGCTTTTGAGCGATGTGCGCTTGCGGTAATGGAGCAAGTTGCGAGTTTCGTATTCTTCCCAAAAACTCTCGAACTCGCTCCACGTTGAGAAGAAGTGGCCCACTCCCAAAGCCTCGACTTCCACCATAGTGCTGCTTCTTCCTTCCAGCACCAGTTCGCGGGCAGCTTTGTTCTTGGTTCGCCTCAGACGCTTCTTCACAGCTGTTACAATATATTGATCAGCATCGTTTACAGTGTAGTACATTAAGAAAAAAACACTGGTGAATGCAACGCTGAACTAATAGCTGACATCTATTAGCTGTACATGTACCTCGAGCCTGGGCAGCATGGCGTTTGCGTCTCTTTCGCGTATCGGCACCGCTACCGTCTCGCCTGTCTGTAGCTTGGCCTGTCTGGTTTGGCGGTTGTGTGCTTGTAAATGCTGTAAACTCGAGCCATAACTCCGAAAAAGGGTCAGGCCCAGGGGGGCCTAATGTGCATTAAAGATGATACTAGAGTCTAGAGAAAACGCACACCGCAAGCACAACGTAGCCACATAAACTCCGGTTACCATCGCCTCCATACGGCCACAACTTCCGCATTTCCGCTTTCAATTCGAGAATGGCAGTATTGCGCCGCGTGGCGGCTAGGCTCCCAGAAGGCCGTAATCTTGTTTTCCCATTGTCAAATCTCGGGGCCTTTTCTTACTTATAGTAGTTTACGGCTGTAGTGGTGCTGGTCGACCTGGTTGTCAGTGTTGCTTTAATGACTTCCGTATCGATCCCTGTACCTCTCGTATGCTAAGCGAGCGCTCTACCATTTGAGCTACATCCCCAGGACAACAACCTTCGCGCTCTACCCAAACACAAACGCTGCCACGCACGCACCACAAACACCGCGCTGGCTTAGACCGACGCACGAACTCGTGGTGCTTGGGAACCCGTTGATACTCTTGGAAATTGTGTTGCACTGGGAGATCGTTGTACACTCCGAGCTGATGGGGCTCATGTAGTTGGTTGTGGGCATGGGCTTGGTCGTGCTCGTGGGGCTTGCGGACGTGTTGGTGCTCACGGAGCTCGTGGCGCACTCGGAGATCGTGCTGCTCTCGAAGCTTGTGGCGCTCTCGGACTCAGTATTTTTTCACAGCGGTTCCCTCTCCTGTGGCTGCCCGAGACGCTGCCCGACGCGTTAGAGGTCACGACCACCGTCAAGCGCACCAACATGATCATGGGCGTGCGGCACTAGCAGCACAAGGGCGAGGGCTGGCAGTTCCACCCAGGGAGCATACTCACGGACGACGGCCTCAAGCTCATCCAGAACTTCCTTGACATGTGAACGATCCAGCCCCCACGAGGGAGTGGTACCGGATGGCCTTGAAATCGGGCGTCATGCGCTTGAACAGGCTCTTGCCGTCGTGCACCATGACGGGCGCCTTGCCGTGCGCGATGTCACGTGGCCTATCTTGCCGCCGAGGACCTCACGTACGACGTGGTTCAGACTTGCACCATCATGTCGCCGTCTCCATGTGGGCTCGCATGATCTCACCTGGCTCAAGCGTAAGCGTCTCAGCCTCATTTACGTCGGCGGCTAGGCATGTAGACATGGCAGCAGGGATCCGGAAAGCTGGGTGTTGTCTGACATATTGTAGCCGTCGGTGTTTGGTGTCGAATAGTCCCGATGAGAGGCTTGATCACCTCCCCCTGGCTTGGACCAAAGAACGACCACGTTCCTTACGCTGGCTTCGGGGAAGTACGGCTTGAAGAATGGGTCCAGCTCGGCCTTGAGCTCTTCAGCTAATCGGCGACAGAGCAGGGCTTGAAGGCGGAACGCGTCCTCAACACCTGCACCACGGAAAACCGGGTGAAACGAGTCTCTTTCTTCCTTGTTCATCCGTTGAACCTCCTTTCGCAGACGCGTCTGAAGGCGCTCCGACAGCGAATGGAGCACAGTGTAGCCTTTCACGTTTATCCGATCCATCGCAGTTTCAAGAATGAACGGGCACTTACCCAATCAGTTCGCACCAAATAAAATCTATAATTACTAAAGTAGTCTAATAGTGAGCTACAATGTCGACCAGCCAGCGAACTGACCGCATGTTATGTCGCATAATAACTGTCGCTACTTTTTTCTCATATTGGGCTACAGTGGCGCCAGTTATTACATGTATGAGAAAAATTTGCGCCGAGCAAAAGTGGTGCCAGATTACATATAACTGACGTTACTTTTGCACGACGCGAATTTTCTCATAATAACTGGCGCCACTGTTGTCCTGGCGCCACTTTAGCGAAGCATAACTGGCGCCACATTTTATCTAACTGTTGTAGTAGCCAACGGGAACACTAAAGATCGCGAGAAGATCACATCGCGAAACGGAATACAATTCATTTTATTCATATGGATCTTGTTTTATCATATAGCTGTAGCACTGAAGGTGTGGTGTAGCGGGATCAGCAAAATCTGCGAGATTGCCAATCCAACTTCCCAACTGCGCCCGAACACCGACTTACGGAGGGGGTCCCCCGATGATCCGTGATCTGTGTGCTGAACTGGTCACCTTGTGTACCCGTCGGTAGGGCTGGATCTGCATTGGTGTCTTCCGAAGCGTCCGAGCCTTGAAGAGAGAACAGTCTGGGCGAGACGCGGGGATGTGGGTGGAGCAGCGTGGAAAACTTCACTCTGCTCGCAGTAGTATTCCAAATCCAGTGGTCTTGTACTTGGATCTGGCGGCCTGGATCTGGATCCGGCCGGGTTGTTGCCTTTCGAGGTTGTTGTCCTTTACGTTGCCTTCGCAGGTCTTCCTTAATCGTGTTTGCCGCCTCCATTGACGGTGTCGTTGACAGTTGAGACGAGAAGGACGCACCGGCCAAACAGATAACTCCGGTGGATCTTGGATCTGCACTTGCAGGTAGTTCACTGGGAAGGTCTTGGATCTGGCCAATATATTACTCCAGTCTTACAACCAACACTAGATCTGCTACCGCTAACCTCTCTACGCTGTGTAGGGCCAATGTCGTTCCCGTTTCCAGGCGAGGGAGGAAGCAATTGCGTTGTACAAGGCAAATTCTGGTCTTTGGGGGGGGGGGGGGGGAGATACCGCTTGTGGACGCTTGGTAGCCTTGGACGTCGTGTGGGGCCAAATCCAATCTCCACAGCGCGAGTCGTGCGGGGCCAATATGTGCTTCCCCGTCGAGCCGTCCGGACCACTTGAGCTCTTCCAGGCAAATTCGGGTCTGATTTATGCTTAAGTTCGTTCCTATCCCAAAATCCTATCGCCATGTGGATCCTATCACCCCATCCGTACTTACCGACTCTATGGACCCTCTTTACCTTCATTGCGTGTCAGCTGCTTGCCCGTCGAGTCGTGTCCACCACTCCACGATTACGCTGGGATGTCGAATTGAACCCATCTTGGATCTGGATCACATGGGTACAGATCCAGATCCATCTGAGTCCAGATCCAGATCCATCTGAGTCCAGATCCGTCACCTGTCTCATCCACTGCCATAACTCTTTTCCGGGAATTGCGCTTCTCCACAATCGCTTCCTGACCGTAGTTGCCGCCGCCCAACGGCGTCACTGCGGGCACAGCTGCCCACTTTTTCGCCTCCCCAGTTTCGCAGACATGTCCGGCCCCGGCCGCAGCCCCTCCCGGGCCTCGTCAAGCGCGCAGCGATCGTCACACGGATCGGCCTTCACCGGATCCACCCGGTCCAGATCCTCGCTACGCGCTCTAATCGCCTCCTGTGATGCTGCAGTTCGCAACCAAGAAGAGGTCGCTGCTCTACTGCTGCACCAGACGGGGGAGCTGGACGCGGCTCAAGCGTACATACAGCAGCAGAACGCAGAGCTGAGCAGCTTGCGATCGGAAGTCGCTGTCCATCGCAGCCGGGGAGCTACCTCTGCGGCTGGCGTGGCGCGGGCTCTCCAACTCCAGGGCCAAGTCGACCAACAGGTGAACGAGATCCGGGATCTCCGGCGTCGCATCGAGCAAATTATGCGTGAACAGGATCGCTTGCAGGAGAACAACGACCACCTGGCTTCCGAGGTCAGCTTGGCCACCGCCGAGATCCAGCAGCTTCAGGATCAAAACACCGATCTGGATCGCGATTTAGAAGACGCCAACTACGAGCGGGACATAGCTGAGCACAACATGGATCGAGCGCAGGAGGAGCTCTTAAGGGTCGAGGCCGAGCTCCAAACAGGCGATCGAATTACTTCGGCGGATCTGCAACAGATTACGACCCTAACGCAGGAACGGGATCGCGCTCGCACATCATTGGCCGAGGTATCCCACGAAGGCGCGAGAAGACCTGCTTGCCCACCAGCGGATGCACACGGAGGCTCGTGACGAGGTGAATCGCCTGCGGGCTACCCACAGAGCTACCATGGCGGATCTGGACCAAGCTGTGCGGGAACGTGACAACCCGGAGCTGACTCGTCTGCGGGATCTCCAGGAGACGACTGTCGCGGATCTGGCGCAGGTATGCCGGGAGCGGGACGCCCTTCAAGGTGAGGTGAACCAAGTTCGTTCGGAGTTCCATGATCTCCAATCCGACTTCGATGCGTCCAAGCAGACCGTGACTGCAATGGGGCGCCGGATTCAGGCGATCGAATCTGAAAGTCGGTTGCTGACGCAGGATCTGATCCGGATGAGCCATGAGCGGGACGTGCTACAGCAGGAGCTCTCAGTCGCGCGTTGACAGTTGACCTCCATCACCACTCTGGTGAGAGCGCGACCTGGTGCAATCGAAGAGGTTCTGGATCCGGCCTACATCCTCAGCTTGATCCGTATTGCGCCCCCTGGATCTGCCGAGAAGCAGCCTGCTGGCGAAACTTCCGACCCCGCTCAGCGGGATCCCGATCCAGAGGCGAACCCAGAGTTGAGTCGTCAAGTAGGCTCTGGCACTTCGAAACGGGATCGTGACCCGGAGACTCCCGATCCAGATCCAACTCTGGCCGTCAAGCGTCGCATTTTCTCGCCGTCCTCCGAGCATGATGAAGCCATGGACCAGGAGGGTAACCGCGCAGCTTTCGGCGCTGCCACAGAGGGAGAGATCGACGACGATGGGGGCGGTAACCAGGAGGAGGAGGCGGAGCATGCACACACGTTGGTTTCGGCCGACTATCACCCTTGGCTGGTGGATCGCCTGAACGACGTGGCCATGGTATCTATGCTGATCGACGCGTTGTTCCCGATCCTTCCCACTGCTCCAGGCTGTTTATTTCCCTACTTCGGCCCTGCCCAGGGCCGTAAGCCGAAGATCCAACTCAGTGACTACTGCTGGGAACTCAACACAGAAGAGAACGTGCGGGCGCTATTGGACACTCACCCTTGGGAAATCCTTGAGAACCCGGGCGATGCCATTTCGTTCGAAGTCACTGTGGGTGGTCGACTTGGGATCCTGATCCAGGAGTACGGGATCTTCGAAGACACTAACCTCATGTCCTACTGGGAATCGACCCACCACTTCCCGATCCCCGATACGATGGCAAAGAAATATCCGTGGCTGCTAGGAACGCAGTAACCGTAAATCCCACGCGGGCCGTGCGTGGAAGCAGTTCTTGGAGTTGTTGATCACCGTCATGCGTGAAGGGTGGTGTGACCTGGACATCCTGTTGGATCCACATTCCCTACATTTCCCCAAGCGCGCCGAGTCCGTCACGTGGTACCCAGGGTTGGCCTCGCGCCAGGCTAATTTGGCGGATCGTAACTCAAACCGGCCAGAGCCCACGGATCTCTTGGAGGCGTTGGATGAGTGTAACAACGAGGATCCATGGCGCAACCACTACCGGGATACTCCCCAATACCATCCTGCGCGCAACATTGCGCGCCTCCCGGCCAAGTTCTTCAATCTCCGTGCAGTTGGCGACCAGTATGGGCTGGATCCACGGTGCCAGATCTCAAGTAGATCCAGATCCACAGATCCTTGCAGTTGAGCTAATTACGCAGGATCTGGATGTACTTCTGCATGTTATAGCCAGCGATCATCCACTCGTTTCACTTGCGTTCCTGCCTTCTCTTTCGTTTCCGATCCGACTCCGCTCCTCATGTCACGCCACCCAGTCTGCCTCTCACTACCCCGATCCACCTTTGCACTCCAATACAGCCTGAGCCTGTAGATCCGGATCCATGCCACACCTCTTTGCGATCCAGATCCATAATTACACTCCACTCCAAATCCAGCTAAGGCGTCCTTGCCACCTCCAGATTATTCTTTCTTCCACCCCCCTCGAGTGCAACGAACACCTTGCTACTCCATACACAAATACAAAATTCCCAATCCACCGATCTGCAACCACCTTGCAGATCCCTCACCACACTCTCTACCCAAAGTGACAAACTCACTCCAGGAGACCGCAGCCCTCACTACTCCTCGTGGGACTGCATCACACCGAACCGGTTCCGGTTAGTGCGGCTCCGCAGAAACTCATGTAGTATAGCGCCACAGTTGAGATCCGCTTCATCCACCCAGGATGGATCTTCATATCCGCGCCAGTGTACCAAGAATTCACGATGGGTCCGGCCGTAACGAGTGCGTTTCCCAGTTCTCATGTCAGTAATTTTGTCCACTTCGTACTCGTCTTCACCTAGATCCTGGATCCAGCTGTCCTCCGGCAGTAATGCTTCATCAAAGTCGTATCGCTCCGTAGTGCCTTCGGTCAACTGGATCTGGGGTCGGTCTGGGAAATTCCTCACAAGCTTCAACTTGGAAACATGTACCACAGGGAACAGCCGATATTCTGTGCCAGGGATCTCGATCCGCACAGCGTATTCTCCCATCTTTTCCGCCACCCGGAACGGACCGTGCCACATGTGAGCCAACTTGCGCGCGTATCCTTCCTTCACCCGATCCAATTACAACCAAACTCTGGATCCCACTCCAATCTGGTGCGGACGGATCTCTTCATTATGCCGGTCCGCCCGATCCGAGATCGCCTCTTGCAGTCGCGCGCTGACTTCTGCCCGTGCCTGCTGATAATAGCGTTGGATCTGGTATCGCCACCGCCTCGGATCCCGATCCTGACGGCGAGTGCTGCCCACCGGGATCGTAGCCTCGAGCGTGGATCTAGGATCCCAGCCATGTACCAAGTAGAATGGCGTCTCTCCTCGGATCCGATCCTGGGCGGTGTTGAGTGCGAAGGTGAGACGCTCAGCGTAGTCGTCCCAATCGCGCTGATCCAGATCCTGCACGTACATCTTCAGAGCGCGAGTGGCAGTTTGCACCATGCGCCCAGCGGTTCCGTTTGCTTGCGACCTGTACGCCATCGTCGCTCGTTGTCGCTGACCAAGGATCTTGTTGAAGGATCTAAAGAAGTCGGCCATGAACCCCGGCTCGCGGTCGTGGCGAATCACCTCGCTGGCACCTAATCGTCTGAATACACACTCTTCGTAGGATTCCGCGATCGTCTGCGCCGTCCTGGAGTTACTGGCCTTCGCGATCACGTACCCGGTGAACATATCCACCCAGATCAGTAACTCGGTATTACCTTTGTTGGATCTGGGCAGCGACGGTATGTGATCCATCGCTATAATCTGAAACGGGTACGTGGCTTGGATGTTACCGGGCGACTCACCTTGGATCGCTGGTCGCCCTTTGCCGGTTTCACAATCCACGCATTCTCCGACGTATCGCTGTACACTCCGATATAATCCTCTCCAGTGGAAGCGATCCCGGATCCGTTGGTAGGTGCGGCCGATCCCTTGGTGACCTCCTTCGAGACTGACATGGTAATGGTGGAGAACATCCTGTTGTAGAGTCTCCGGCAGCACCATCCTCATCAATTCATCGCGATCCGCCTCCACCTTCTTCGCAGGAGGACAATAGAACAGCAAGTCGTTGAGGTCCACTTCGTAATCCATCGCGACAGCACTATAGGATCTCGCCTCATCTTGGGTCAGATCCTGCATGTCGCCCGCTAAGTACTTCTTCAGACCGGAGATCCACGCCTCCTCGTCCTGCGCTTGGCGAATCCTAGCGACCCTGATGTCCCGCACTATCTTCCCGTAAGACAGTAGGGCTGGATCTGGATCTGGCATGTGATCGGGTTATCACAGGTGATACACGAGCGACGGGGGCATCTTCTTCACTCTTCACAACCAGGATTTCCTCCAGTCGATTCAGCGTGATCAGATCCTGTAGATCCACCTCGTCCTCCAACATGATCCCGGCTTGCCGTTGAAGTGCTGCACTGGCTAGGCTATCCGCGCTGCCGTTCCAGTCGCGCTTGACATGTACCAGCTCGTGGTCCGGCCAGATCCGCAGCCGATCCAGGGCTTTCTGTCTCAGAAGGGTCAATCCTGGCGCCTTGCAGTCGATCTCACCTCGGACTTGGCGAACCACCAGGTTGGAATCTCCACAGATCACCAATCGTCGTTGTGCCTCGCCTTCGAGCAGATCCAAACATA